GCAAGTAGCACAGACCACAACAAAAATACCCCAACAAAACGAAAATTAACATTTTTTTTGGCGTTTTGATTACCATTTGTTACCACAGTTGTACAAATACCATGGTTAAACTATGGTTAGTGTAGTTGAAATAGAAACAAAGGAATTTTAATGAACTCAGGAACCAAAAAACACACTAGCATAAACATAAAACATCATCATAACATCAACACAAGACCAAAAACTGAGGAAACTGAGGGCTGATATATACTTGCAGGGAGTAATCAAGGGAACAGAAGTGGGAGCTAATCAGGACAGATGCTAAAGCAGGTCTGTTTATAAGTTTATATCCCTTCTACCCTTGAAGGTAGAAAGAAGTGTGCTTAATGTGCACTTATAATATACATCAAATTAAAGGCCACTTAAGTATATCTAAACTGAGTATTCACTTTGTTTCTTAACACACTTTAAGTGCACTTAAAAATGTGCTTTGTAATTTTGTGTATTTAAGTTTGACTTAAACTTACATTTTAAATCACTATGTTTTTGTCATGCTTTAAAGAGGTAGTTTTGTTGATGTATTGATTAATATACTAAAGCACGTGTAAAATAATTGACGTTCATTTCAACTGAAGTGTGTTGTCCAAAATTACATTTGTTCATGTATTTGAAAAGTGTTTATAATATATACTGTGTATTTTTCTTCTAAACTTCATTAAAACATTTTTTTATTGGATTGTACTAAAAATGTGTTAGTGTTATGTGTTAGTACACTGGTAACTTAAATTTAACTCAGATTCAATATTTTAAAAATCTTTCAAAATTAAGGCCCATTAAAAATCATTAAAACAAAATTAATTTAATTTAAATTCTGTTAATTCTGTCTCAATATATCTCAACATATCAAGAGTTTTTTTTCTGTATAAAAGATTATTATGAGAACCAAATAAAAATACAATAAATATCACTTCTAGTGTATTTACTTCATTCTGTTACGCAGTGTCTTATAATATATTATAGAAGCAGACAAATAGTAAAGTGATGTGCTGAGAAATTAGCTCTACATGAAAAAAACAAAAAGATTTGTGGCTATAATGCATCTGTAAACAAAGAAATTAACAGTTTCTGTCCAGAAAAATATTCAACAGTAAGAAGCTCCCTCATGTGGAGACACAAGGACTAGACTCTTGTCTGCTCCTCGTTACAATAAGTGTTTTGCATCTGGAAAAAGTCAAGCACCTTTTGAAAAGGTCATGAAAGCAAATCATTTTTTTTCTGTCAAAAATTGCAATTGTATATTTCAATACAGAATGTAACAAAACACTGTTAGATTGCAACTGAAACGTATATAGTAAGATTGCTAAAACTTTAAAAGCTTTGAAAGGATTTGAGGCAGTGGATGTGGTTCGAGTTATACAGCTCCTGCCTGTTTTCCTGGTTCCTCCTCCACATCATCATAGTCTGTTATTGGAAAACAAGAGCCAATTCACGTATCAATATATACATTAAAATGCATGATAAAAAAACACTACAACACTAAAATATACTAGCAGTAAATTTAAATGAGCTTTCATAACTACAGAAATTGATCATATAACGTGATTATAAAGACTAAATTAACTACGCATTGCAGTATTAAACACGCATCTACAGATACAAATGTATTTGATATAATATCAGATGAATATCTCTGGAATAGAAACCAATGTTTATTTACAAATCTTGCCTGAATAGACCTCTATTTGTGTACACAAACTGACCAATTCATTTTATAACATTATTAAAGTAAAAAAAGTTAATTGTGCTCTTGTTAGAATATCATTACATTGTAGTACAATTCCCTTAATGTTATGCACATTATCCCCAAAATAACTTTAAATGTTCAGTTTATTAAAATTGATAAATTTATAGCAAATATCAACTTTCTTTCTGTGGAGAGTAAAGTTTTAGTAAGTGTGTGAAGTGAGCAGTCAGTCATCATTGCTTGTATCTGCTGTGTTCAGGTTCAGGTTTGATGCTGAATATAAGCTGCTGTGTTTCTGTATCAATCTGCTTTAAGTTTATTGTGACTTTATCTCCACACTGACTTATGACTGACACGAGTCTGTCCTCAGTGAAGTGTCTCTTCACGCTGGAGGAGGAGTCCCGCTCATCAGCGCTCACACTTTATTGATATATATGGAGAAAATAAAAATGCTGCTTTCTGATTTGTCACTGATTGTGTTTGATGATTTCCTCTGTTGTGTCTAATAAGGTAAGAGTGAGTGTCATTGGCAGCTGAGTCTCTCTCTCTCTTTAGGGGGCTGACAGGAGCCAGTTTCTTCAGTGTGTTTGAGGAGCAGAGGACAAACTTGTGCTGTGTTCTGAGTTGATGAAGTAGCGTGTGTCGAGCTAAAGAAGATGGAGAACTGTCTGATGCTGATGTTTCTGTGTTATATGGTAAAACTCATCAGCTCTGGTAGGTACATACTGAGGGTCAAGAGGTAATCTATTTTTAAAATGTGCTGAAATAATTTACATGTAATGTTACACTTTACTACATATTACAGTATATTTGGTATGTACAACATATATTGTATGTTCACTAATTGTCTCTCTCTCTCTCAGGTGTAGACAGTGTGAGTGTGAGGTTGGTGAATGGTAATAATCCCTGTGCTGGTCGAGTGGAGGTTTATAAAGATGGTCAGTGGGGAACAGTGTGTCATTATTACTGGGATATTGCTGATGCTGAAGTGGTGTGTAGAGAGCTGGAATGTGGGACGGCTGTAAAAGCGACATATGATGCTCACTTTGGACAAGGATCAGGACCAATTTCAATGGCTTATGTATACTGTAGTGGATCAGAGACTGCACTGAAAGACTGCAGGTCACAGAGCCAGTATGCACAGCGCTGTAATCATAATGAAGATGCTGGTGTCATCTGTTCAGGTAAACTGCTCCAAACCTCAGCCTGTTATTTCATCACTCTCTTTCATAATTCTCACTCAAGCAACATACTTATGCTGGTGTTTACAAACATCACTATCAATCTTATGAAACAGGCAGTCTGTTTAATTGTTTTGTTCATAATAATATATTCATCCTAATTCCTTACTATCTTAAAATAAACTATGACGAAGAGAATCACTATTAAATATGTCATGTCTTTTGCATATTCAGACAGTCTGATCTGACAATCTTATTTACGTTGTTTATTTAATGAAGATTATAAATTGATGGATGGAAAATAAAATTACATATCTACGGTGAGCGGGAGGGACATGTTTACGAGTTTAATGCGTAAACAACCCCGCGTGACCATAGCAACCTGGGATTATCAAAGATTGATAAAACATTTTTATCCATCCCGCAGTCTTGTAAATCCATTAACTGATCGTGTCTTTTTATTTAATATATTTGTATTTTATTATTATTATTATTATTAT